CAAATATTCATTATTCACTGTATAGCCAAATTTATGGTAGAGTTTAGTTTGAACAGGACAATTTAGAAACAGTACTTTAAACATGAAATATATTGAAACGCTATAAATACACGTCTGCGGATGTTTAGCAGAACATATACGCGAACCGGCGGTACCGAGCTAGATACTGCCGAAGGAGTGTTGCGTTGTAAATCTTTATACATTCAATATATTTTGTCATGTTTTTATCTGCACATGCTACGGGCACTGTAGAGGATCTGTCGATGTTTTATATGTTCTGTTCACCGACCATTTAATCAGTATGCAACTGACATGTTAATAAAACCGGGAAATATTACATTTTACTCAAAGTTTTACTATTTAATGTTATTCTGACAAATGTCAGATCAGACTTTTATTTCTTTCCTCTTGTAGAAATTGAGCAATTATGAAGTACATCTTTATTCTCTGTTTTATATACAAACTTTGTATTTACAAGAATAAAAAATCATATTTTGGTAATATCTGACCGTGTTATTAAAAAGAATACGTATCATACAAAGTTCCCATATATTTCGAGTGTACGGATCACGGTATATTAGTCATATAGGTATTGCATTATATACGGTCCCGTACATCTAAGTATTCAGATTTCACTTATTTTTACCTGTCTATATATATTATACGGCATTCCGTACCCTTTATTGCATTCATATATTTTCCGCAGTGGTCATAATGGCGTAAAGTGCCGTTAATAGCGGGATTTTGACACAGGGCGATCGTTTTAATAGCATCAAAATAACGCCCCGTGATAGCGTGACTTAATTTTTTATCCAAAGGGTTGGGGGAAATGAAGTCACGTGTGCCGGAAAAATTGAGTCGGTGACCACCTAATTGTTTTAGTTATTTTGACTAAGTATGTATTTTAAAGGACGTTTAAAGAAAAAAATCAAAATTTTATTTCAGGAATCTTTTAATTAGCCGGTTTTAAGCCGGAAAATGCGGCTAAACTGAATATCAAATTTTACCCAAAATTTACAATATTCTTTCCATTTTTCAAACACTTTTCGGCGTTAAACAATAAATTTTATAACAGTTTAAAGGAAAAAATAATTTCCGTCGCATGCTTTAGAATTTTAGATATTTTGTCCCCCAATGACGTTGAAATACCCGTAACAGTTGCCAAGGATACGCAACGACGTCATGTTCAAAAACGGGCTTTGATGGTCAACTTTGACGTCATGTGTACAAAAATTGGCTAAAACTATTGGAATACAATCAACAGAATCAAATCAGAAATATGGTCAACTTTCTGCATGCCAATTTTCAAGACGCTACTCGAAAGTTCGCAAAGTGTCGCGTTCTAACTTAAGCACGAATCAATTATTGTCAGCGACAAATCTAGGCCTAAATGCCCCTAAAAACTTATCCCCGTCTTGTTGATGGTTTAACTTCTTTCTTTGTTGCAAATTGTCTCATAGTTTGTTAAGATCTTCCCGGAGATATAGTCCCTGATATGTATTGTTGTCAAGCTCTAATTCATTGGCTTATAGATATTGTTTTCAACACTTTTGCTGTCTTCATATCTTTACAATCCAAATGTTAATGAGTAACGTTTAACAACACACAGGTGAACGTGATTTAAAATGAAAACTTTGTTTCATTACTGCTGAAAAGACTTAAGTAGATTTTGTTAAGTCCATGCATCTGCGTGAATTGATACCAATGTTTGAAGAATGCAAGTACAAATTATGTGTTTATACAAAATATGCGGATATTGCTTCTGTTCGGGAACTACTCGCATGTCATAATAGTAACGTGTTGGCTTTTGCACAGGTATTGGATTTTTTTCTTAACTTTTAAAAATGTTTGTTTCAAAGTGCCTTCTGTTAATTCAACGACAGCAGCTATGTTGAAAGTAACTGACATTTGATCATTTTGAACTTGCGCTCATTCACTCGCCCCTTATTAAAAAATGCCGAAATTGTCTAATTACTCAGATATTGCCATAATATCCCTTAAATATGTTACAATATAGATACCTCGAATTATGCAAATAAATTTCTCAAACTTTTGTTGACTTAAATACTTGTATAAGACGTCGTATATGCTGTAAAGAACCGAATCGAGAACTTATAACCATGCATTTCTACATCGTAGACGGTCACTAACGTGTGTTCATATTTTAATAATTCGTTTTTACGGCACTTTTCCTGACACAAATGTCATTATTTTAAAGATTTATGTTAAGTTTCACCAGCTGTTGAATGACATTAATTGCACGGCTTTTGCGTAACCGTTAAACGTCTGACGCCATCTTTTTTAACATGCGCCTTTTCTCGCGCTTCTTTGAAACCAGTCCAAAATTGATTGGTTATCTGAAGAGCTTGTCGACAAAAACGATTTGCATTTTAATAAATTCATTGGCAAATACAACCTTGCTGATACAAATTTGACCCTCTGCTTTCGCTTTTGTCATATTGTTTCTCATTCAGTCGATATTTCCTCCCGTGTATCCCGTCAGCAATTTGTATAACTAAGAATATTTATTATATACATGTGCGTAATAATGAACTATTGAGAAATATTGAATGAGACAAAATGTGCGATTTTCACTTAAACTAGAAATGTGTCCATAGGACACGGATGCCCCCACACGCCATTGCTCTGTCAATCTTATGACTCTAGGTCAAATATTTTTTGGACTACATGTGCCACAAGTTGAAAACTAAAAATCAACAAAGGGCCATAATTCTCTTAAATTTGGTCGTAGCAAAAATTCCTCCCTTTACTACCATCTACACATTAAGGTTGTTCATCCCCGGAAGTTAAGGCAAAATCTGCCATCCGGTTTAAGAGGAGTTGCGTTCACAAAATTTCTACACAGTATATAGTGAAAAAATCAACAAAAGGCCATAATTCTGTTAAATTTGGTCGCAGCAAAAATTCCTCCCTTTACTACCATCTACACATTAAGGTTATTCATCCCTGGAAGTTTAAGCAAATCTGCCACCCGGTTTAAGAGGAGTTGCATTCACAAAATATTTCTATTTAGTATATAGTGAAAAAATCAACAAAGGGCCATAATTCTGTTAACTTTGGTCGCAGCATAAATTCCTCCCTTTACTGCCATCTACACATTAAGGTTGTTCATCCCTGGAAGTTTAAGCAAAATCTGCCATCCGGTTTAAGAGGAGTTGCGTTCACAAAATTTCTACATAGTATATAGTGAAAAAATCAACAAAGGGCCATAATTCTGTTAAATTTGGTCGCAGCAAAAATTCCTTCCTTAACTATCATCTACACATTAAGGTTGTTCATCCCTGGAAGTTTAAGCAAAATCTGCTATCCGGTTTAAGAGGAGTTGCGTTCACAAGATTTAGGGACGTACGGAGAGACGTACGGACGGACGGACACTCGGACGGACAAGTGCAACGCTATATGCTCCCACTCTGTGGGGGCATAAAAACTATATGTCACTGTAGTGAAACGCATTGTCTGTATTTCAACTTGACTGTGTCTTTATGGACTACTAAATTCAGTCAAAACACAAACTTTAGTGCTCTTCGGGATCATTAATCCAAGATCCGCTTAAGTCTGTTCTAGGGGCTTCAGGGATGTTGCATTGTTTCATTATCCTTCAAGTTCACACTCGGTCAAAAAAGTCTGCATTTATGTTATTATACGCCCGAAAGAATTTTAGCGTATATTGGTATTCACCTGTTTGTCCATCCGTCCATCTGTCCTTCCGTCCATCCGTCTGTTAGCAGCTTTTCTTGTCAGGTGTTTATCTTTTGAACCGGTGGATGGAAATTGAAACTACTTGGCAGAAATGAGTATTTTGTTAAAGAACTTACCCACAAACAAGAATTTGGTTTTTTATTTATAGGTAAATGACATAAGTTATTAGAAAGAATCGAACGTAAGGCTAAATTTGTGAAAATAATCTTCTTTACGTTTGCTATTAGTTAACATACCTGATACGGATAATTTAAGTTAATCACACATACCTTGCTTCTGCTATATTTGTTTGTAATTCGTGCAAATTATCTATATATACTAGATAATTTATTTCACCATTCATAAACCAGCAATGTTGCATGAATGAAAATCATCGTTTTTGTACATTTATTGTAGTACATGTATTTCGTTCAAATCATATAAAAATGAATTACTGAAACATAATCGTAATGGCTAACTTACTTACAATCAATTACTCTGGTGTAAATTAAAAAAGTTCCTTTCTCTTAAAAAAAAGGGAAAAAAAAGAAACAAAAAAAATAAAGTTTTGTAAAGGTATATATTTTTCGTATCCTGACGCACTTCCCGATAAAATCACTGTTATATGAACCTCGGGAAATGTACAAATTTCACTCACGAATGGTAAGATTTGTGGAGGAAAGAACCATGAGAGTATTCTTTTGTATATACAATGTATAGCTAAAAAGGCTACAATGACTTTGATGAAAACAACTGATGCACATGTCGATGTCTGGTGAATTAATAAAAAGATTGTTTAAAACATGTTTTTGATGCTTAGCTTGTGTATTGTTAAACTTTAATGATTAAACAGTTACAAGACAACATGTAAAGTGTCAAGTTTATTAAGGATAGATCATGCAGCTTATATGACTGTTTTGAATAGTAACACCAAATACAACGCTACGGCATGAGTCATATGTGTTTTAGGTTACTGCGATAGTAATCAGAACCAAACGCCGAGTGTTTCAAAACGTATACAGGAAAATGGAAAATTACACCAAAATGTTTTCCCAAAGGTAAACTTTAAATGTGATCCTACTTTTCATGAAATTTTGAGATGCTTATATGATTTCAAAATTGTTTCATCAAGCATATATCTATCGATAATCAACCTGAACAAGTGTGCAATGTGTTACAAAAATGTGAACATTGTCAATTTCCACAACTTTCTTTTTTAATAGGTATAGAATACTACTACAAGCTCATTGGCACTGTTAAACATTGACATACAGCTTTCATAAGCCTGTTTTCTCTATTAGATTGCCATGCTGTTCAAGACATCGTCATAGTTCATGCAGCACAAAGGCGTTACAATGACACGAAATTCAATTCTACAGCAGAAATAGATTGTGAAGATGGATATTACAATCAAAGACAAAATCAAACACCTGCAACATCAACTACTATAATCAAATGTTCTAAACAAGGAACTTGGACCAACATTCCTAACTGCATACGCAAAGGTATTCTTAATTATTCAACTCACGAGTGTGTGTGTGTGTGTATTTCGTCACAAATTAAATTCATACCATTAAAACATCAGCCTTTCCGAAATCGCCACGCCTCGAACAAATTTTTTCATTTAGAAAATATGGCCGTTTCCGTGTCGGGTAAATATCATAAACTTTAAACAATGTCAATAGTTTTTTAAATGATAAACTCTCTTTTACAACTAGGAATGTATCAGTTCACTTTGTTCAATTATTTATTAAAGTGTAAAGATATTTTTATTGTCACTGTCAGATTCAATTATTGTTCAAATCCATTTACGGTGATTCGGACTCGCTGATGAAATGTCTTCAGTTTTCAAAAATTTGTCAGTAATTGTGGGTGGATATTTCATTAGTCTTGCATTATGCAGTATATGGTCAGTGTACGTAAAATTTCTTCAATTTCCGACATTGTACGGATATTTGACGGTACAGTTGTGTTAAATATTGACTTTACAGGTGGTAGAATTTGTCGAAGCTTCTCCTCCTCAAAATTAAAGCCTAATAATGCATTAGATTATTCAATAACATCAAAATATCCATTCTGAGTCAGGGTTAAAAGTTAAAATCTGTATCAAACAATTCGTCGTCTATTTGTAACGGAAAGATTTCCTTTGCGCTTTACTATTGACAATATATAAATAACACATCGGTTTGTGGGTAACAGTAAAAATTTCATCCGGAGGAAAATACGCCTCGGGTAACAGTATTTTCCTCGGGATGATATTTTTACTGTTACTCACAAACCCATGTGTTATTTATTTTATTACCCGAACAAAAATACTGCAATTATCTGAAATTGTCAACTAAATCTAGATCTAACTGTAACAAAAAAAAAACCAAGAGTAACAATAACTAAACTGTCCTTACCTTAAGTGTACTTTACTGTAGGCCTATTTGTGAAGTTTTCTTTTTCCAATACCCTTTAAGCCAGTGATGATATCTACATATCATAAACATACAATTTTAGGAAACAAAACACTTACCCATTTACACGGTAATGATCTGTGAAATCTGATCCTTCTCGGCTACGCCTCGGCTAACAGTATTTTCCTCGGGATAATATTTTTACTGTTACCCACAAACCCATGTGTTATTTATATAATGTTATACACGAAAGGAACTCTAGGGTGCAAAGAACTAAATTTTATGAGAGTAATAGTTACTTCGGCGATGCCCTATCGTCGAAAATAAGAATGAATCTAGAGAAAAATGGCGGCCATTTTATTTCATTTTATTTAGAAAATAGACCACGTGACCAGATTTTATACTGTTAAAAAATACTGTTACCTATGTAACAGTACAAAATTCTTAGTCACGTGGTACACTTGCATTAACAGTAAGAACAACTCCCAGAGGGGTAATAATATACTCTAACTCTAACTCTATTACCGACGTACTCGTAGTATTCTGTCATGTGTGTCATGTATATGGTGAAGTTAAAAAATATTTGACCTCATTCAATAAAAAATGAAATGACAAGTTGAATTTATTCTGCTTCACACACAATATTCATTATTAAAAACATCAATTAAATTCATACAGAAAACGTTAAGTACGCCGATAATACGGAATCCCATGCTGACTTATATACATGTATATAGCTGCAGACGGCGGTAGATAAAATCATTTATGCTATTTATCCGATATTGAAATTCGGAGTAAACTGTGTCCTTTTTATATTAGAAATGTTTGTAAAAATGTATAAAACTCAGTGGAATATGTTTATTGAATGATACATGCATATTTTGACTGAGGAATGTCGTTACTAAATATAGCAATGGATTCCCAACAAAGTGCCATTATTCGTTCCCGTTTCTTTATACTACGTCATGAATAGTAAAGGCGTGAATCAACCGGGAAAAAATAGTCCGTCACTCATTATTAAACAGACTCGTCACTAACATAAAACAGATATTTTTGCACCCGTTGAAGCGTATTCGTCCATCAAGATTTTTGCGTATTTTAGGAAGGTTGGATTTATATGTAACTATAAACTCGTATACAATAATTACTACAGTGTAACTTCTGAAAACCGAACACCTGGGGCTAGCCAAAAAGGTCGGAATATGGAAGTTTCCGGAATTCAGAAATTCGGAATTATCTGAAAAAAGTACAATTATTATACATCAACTGTTTTATAGGAAAATTCTGGAAACAAAGTGATCCCTCGGAAGCATTAATCACAACAAAATAACATAAAAATTGCAGACTCGGTTTGATTGAGTCTGTACATGAAGGATAATGAATAAGTGCAACATCCCTCACGCCCCCTAGCACCGGCTTGAGCGGTACTCAATTCTCAACACTTATAGTGTATCAATGATCCCGAAGGACCAGAAAATATAACAACACTGAAGTGAAGTACGAGGCAACTTTTTACGGCTGCCACACGGCACTTGACACCTGCTGTTGTGAAGTACAAAATTCTGGAAACAAAGTGATCCCTCGGAAGCATGATGAAAAATATATAAAGCTGATTTAATTAACAAAATAGCACAATTATAGGACTTTAACTATTTTTAATTTTATCATCACCTATAACTGAATTTGCTGATACAGTAGCATAATGTTTATTATCACAATTTATCCTTTAATATATTTCATATACTTTTTATACCTGCAAATTTACCTGTTTTTTTTTTCATTTTATCACATTATTGTACTCAATTTCTTAATTTTCACACGTTAAACAAGTGTTTGATAGTGTGGTGAGGTATGGTAGTGTAACCGTAATCCGGAACATACCGTTCCCGGAAGGTACGAGATTTAGTTCGGGCAAGACGAGAACGATTCCTAGCCGCCATCTTGTAAGAAGGTAATTAGAACGGCAAGACGAATCCGAAGAATCTGAGAGATATAAATAGTCATCCGTACAGGGAAAGTGTTTCAAGGTAAGCAGAACACTTTAATGGTGGCAGCTACTATTCGAATTCACGTCAACTTCGTAGGAATTCTACGCAATCCGGAGGTAAACCAGCGATTTTCTCAACCATAAAAACTTTGGTTTTCAAATATTGAAATCTAAGTATTTCCAATATTTGGGAGGGGGAAAAGGGACTGTTGGTTTGGATTGAACAAGCACTGTACGTTTAGGTGATTTAATGTGGAAATTTGCCAAAATTGAGTATTTAGAGTACTCTTTTGGTAAGTTTAGAAACTTCGGATATTCGGACTTACGACGCATGCGTATCGGAAAGCTAAGCTTCCGCCCTGGATCAGTTTCGCACGTGAAAACTGTGCTAGTTCAGCATTATATTTTAAATATTTTTGAATAGTATCTGGGTTAAATTATTGGTATATTTAAAGCGGTTCAGTATAATTGATTGAATTTATTTGCATTGTTGTTTTTCAACGTCAATACACAAAGTCAGATTTTTGTATTTTATTTTCGTTATTGATTTTTGAATTACTAAGTAAATATTCTTTCATAATTTTAATCTGAATTGTTAAGATAAATGTAAATTATTTTTCGGGTAGGAATTAATTGTCTGTTATTCAAGACTTTGAATATACAATAAAGTAATTTCGAATGTAAAATAATTGCAAGTCTGCTGTCTAACGACTGATTGACTTGACATACTTTAGCTGAACTTCACTGAATCCAATTGCACGAATTATAACTTATTCCTGCATTAGTCGTCGTTATATTTTTGGGCTACCAAGTAAGATAAAAAATAATGGCAGGTTGCAGCGAAAGAATTTGTGTTAATTTTGCTTCGAAAGAGGAACTCCTAAGGATTCCGGGCATAAGTTCAAGGATAGCTGAGTCTATTATTACAATCCGTAATAGTGGAGGGAATATAACACTTGGAGTGCTGCAAGACATGTTAGAGCGCACTTTAGATAAAGAGGAAGTAGCTCTGCTGGACTTCTCACCAAGTGTGGGGTTGCCATTAGATTGGGGGAAAATACTACCTGAAGTACCATCTTCGTCAAGGAAAGATTCTGGTGAAGGAGGGGACAGTCGAGCAATTTTGGACAGCTTGTTGGAAGTTCAAGAAAAAGGGAACTTCAATGAAGATGCTGAGGAGCCCGACAAAATTCCTTCAAGAAATGATTGGCAAGAGGTACAAAAATTCTTGGAAGTAGCCAAAGATATCATTCGCGCCAAAAATGCAAGTAGTGCGGTTGACCCCCTGTCCTCAAAGGCCAAGTCTTTGAGAGCTGGGGCGCGTCCCAAGCTAAACGTAGCTGCTAGGTATGATGATTCCTCAAGTGATAAATCATCTGGACGGAGTAGACAATCTTCTCCGCAACCTAGAGTTAAACATAGCGCGAAAAAGTCCGAAACTGCAGCATTTATTCGGAGTCTGCCGAAGAGGTTGCAGTATGATGGAAAGGCAAACTGGCTGGCATTTAAGCAGAAGTTCTTTCGTTATGCTAAAGCATGCGATTGAACGTCAGACGAATGCCTTGATGGTTTATGCTGGTGCCTGACTGGAAAAGCCGCTGACTATCATGCAATCATCGTGGAGAGAGAAGGCGATATTTCTAATCGGAAGCTCTTGCAGGAACTGGAGACGAGATTTGGTTCCAGGGAACTTGCTGAGACAGCTCAAGTGTGTTTCCAGCAATCTTCACAGCTGCAGGGAGAGTCTCTTGATGATTGGGCAGATAGGGTCATGACCCTGGCGACAAATGCGTTCAAAGACCTGCCTGAATACTTCTCCAATAGGCAGACAGTGAGCAAGTTTTGTAAGGGTCTGGTAGGCAAAGAAGCCGCGGTAGCCATAGCCATGGATAGTCCTTCAACCATGGAAGAGACAATGAACAAAGTCCAATGGTATCAGCACCTGCATCAGTCAGTTTATGGCCGTTCTAAGAAGAGGGCTAGTAAAGAAGTTGTTGACGATGGCGCTAATGTGTTTGCCCTAGAAGAAGCTCCTGAGGTTGCGCAAGCCAACGCTGCTCCATCTCAGTTGAGTTCTTTGGAAGTGGCAATTGAGAAGCTTCAGAGATGTTTTGACAACATGGTCCTGAAACTAGATGAGGAGAAGACTTCTCAAGGAAGAAGTAGATGGCCTAGAAGAACTTGTTTCGGTTGTGGGAAAGAGGGTCATTTCAAGTCTGACTGCCCCTCACTGCAATAAAAAAATCAAATAAAAAGGGGAGGAGGTAGTATGTGTTCTTCTGGTGAGCGCCAGAGTCGCAAACCAGCGTCATTTCATGCTAAGCAAGGAGTGAGACTAGGTTTGTGAAGGAAACAGTCATGGACCAAGTTCCATGCTGGATGTATTCTCGATCTAGACAGCATGTAAAGAAACATTAGCAAGTGTGTTGCAGAACAGTTCAAGCATGTGAAAGCTGCATTGTCACGAATACCGGTATCGGGGCATTGTACAAGTATGTTTCTGGGGTCGAACTGAGGAAACTGCCTTGTGGGGGATGTGATCATTGCGCAAGTGTTGACTTGGACCTCGTCATGAGGAACGTAGATGTTGCAATTCTCTTGGTATCGCAAGGTGTGTGAAGATGAAGTTTGACCATGACAAGTCATAAGGTATCATCGCAATAATGTCGATAACCAGGTATCACGAGGTGTGCGAAAAATGAAGTTTGACGAAGGTCATAAGGTATCATCGCAATAATGCTGATAATCTGGAAGAGATTTGCGGATCCATTGTATCGTCGGCAATTCCAATGTCACAAGGGTCGCAAAGGTTCACAAGGAAGCAAATGACCAAATGTTGAGGTTGTAGGCTCAGAATCAGGTCAATGGTGCTAAAGTTTAGTGTGTTTGAAGATGCTGTAAGATTGTGAGCAGATATTGAGAATACAGAACGATGCTCTTATGATCGAAGGGGAAATAGGGCACAGTTTTGAGTAGTGGAACAACTTTCGCTAGAAGCTGTAGAGTACTTTCCGTCAGCAGTGCTAGTTCTAAGAGCTAGTGCTGGGTTTTTAGTATTACCTAAGTCATTAAGTAGTTCTAGTAGATCCTAGGGCTAAGTCCCACTGGCTGAATAAGGAACAGTACCTATAAATAGACTAAGTTCTATTGAGGGACATGGGCGATACTAAAGGTAGGATTCCCAATAAGTAGAAAGGTTCTTCAGATGAGGCAGGATATACCATCAGGTGGTCTCGGGGGGTGTTGCAGTGACCAGGACCCGGTTTAAGAAGACATTCTTCTGGTATGGCAGGGGTCAGGATAGTGCAAGTCATGTGACGACATGTGAAATTGCATTTGCAGCATGAAAACTGATGGTCATGGGCAGGTTGGCACAACAGGTCCTGTTCTGAAGATACAAGAAGAGATCTTATTGGGAAATAACAAAAGCCTGTGATATTAACAAGTACAAATGTGCAATGCTAAGTTTGTTGCCTTCTTGTTCTGTGTTAATGTGGCTGCTGCGGTGTAATAAGTAGCTCCATAAATCTGTAGTCAACACTCAGGTTTGGTATGGAGGTGTAAGTTGCAATCTGCTTAGGAACTGGACGCTGGCAACTGTTAAAACAGTGCCCGGGAAGGTAAGATATCTAAGATATCAGTTATCGAGTTAAGCTCTCTGTCAAAAACTTGTCAGATAGGCATTTGGCAGATTACTGTTGCACAGGCTAATGCCTGCCCACTTATAATCTGAGTTTACAGGCCAACGCCTGTAAAGGCGGTTTTGTGGGTACTGGTTTGAAACCCAGGAGTGGACTCTAATCTCGGGTTTCCGCACTTCAAGTGAGAGGATTTCATCTTTAAAGTCGGGGGGAGTGTGGTGAGGTATGGTAGTGTAACCGTAATTCGGAACATACCGTTCCCGGAAGGTACGAGATTTAGTTCGGGCAAGACGAGAACGATTCCTAGCCGCCATCTTGTAAGAAGGTAATTAGAACGGCAAGACGAATCCGAAGAATCTGAGAGATATAATTAGTCATCCGTACAGGGAAAGTGTTTCAAGGTAAGCAGAACACTTTTAATATGCTTGATAGGTTGTTATTATAATAGTTGTCAAGATAAATGGGTTATGTTAATTGGAAGATACTGACATTTTGAAGGTTTTTCAATTACAAGTACAATATTCCTTCACACCTTTTTTATTTCAGGAGTTTGGAAGTAAAGTAAAAAAAAGTAAATTTAGATTGATATAACCCAAATTTTACCAGAAAATCTTTCGGAATTCAGAATTTAGAAGTTCCGTTATTCAGATTTTGATTACATATAAAACAGAAGGAGAAATTTAGGCACCCTGAAAATTGTTCGGATTTCAGAAGTTTCCGGATTATAGAAGTTCCGGAATTCAGAAGTTACACTGTAGTATTATAACTTTAAATTAGGTAATAAATAAGTAATTGATAACATAGGCGTTCCTTTTGGATAGTTATGGTTAAATGAATTCAAAAGTTTATGTACTCAAAATCAACCAAATGCAACATAAACTACTAGGGTAAGGAACTTTGACCAACATCCCTATTTGTATATCTCAACTTTTCAACAAATTGTTTCTTTAATCAAATAAATGATAATGAATGTTCTGCTTTTATGCAAATGACATACATGAAAAAATGACATGAAAGTCCTTTATAATTAAGTGTCTTATTGTTTCAGATTGCGGATCTCTTGAAATATTAAATATATCAAATGCTGCAAACAGACTCATATTTACTGACACAAAATACGGATCCACTGCTGCTGTAATATGTAAGACAGGGTACTATGATAAAAGTAAAGTCCAGATGAAGGGAGTATCATCCACACTGCTCAAATGTTCTGAGAACGGAACGTGGGTTAAAGTGCCAAACTGTGTCCGAAAAAGTAAATACATAATTGTGTTTGGTTCCTTAAATTTCTTATAGATATTTCACGTTTAAACGCTGCTCACGTAACATTAATACTATGTTGTAAGATCAAATTAATACATTTATCATTTATATATATACAAGTGTCATAACGTAACATCTTCATGTATTGACGACAATGTGTCATCATGATTAAAGTAGATGTTATATAACATACTCCCTAGCATCAAAATAAACATTGATGATGTGCTGTTTGAACTTATAAAAAATATGACTATTTCCTTCATGTATACTTAATAGAAATTGCAATATCTACCAGACTTTTTAATGACGAAAATTATATCATCCATACTGCTAGTATAAATAGTTAAATGATACAATGTATATTTACATTGATTATTTTACAATTAAGGTCTTTTCGACGATCATGAAAAATTTGTGAGTCTTTCTGTGTTTTCTTTAACCATTTTGCATTTTAATCCTTCTGACAGGGCAAATTCGTTTTATGTGAGTAACGAGAAAAAAAGTCGATTACCACAAATTAAGACAATTTCAATATTTTTGCGCAATTTACTGTGTTTTATTCAGATTGTGGAAACCTAATAGATATCCCGATAACTAATGCCGATCACAGACGTCTATATACAGATACAAAATTTGAATCAATAGCAGATATTAACTGTGATGACGGATATTATATTAAAGGAAGAAATCAAACAGCTGGAATATCAAACCAACAAATTACATGTTCTGATACAGGAACATGGATCAATGTGCCAAAATGTGTTCCTAAAGGTATGAAACAATAATGTTTAATAGATTAAAAATAAATACAGTCTTCCTTCAGACATGAATAATTCTTTTTTTAATATAAAGTTATATTTAATTATAGTTAAACATGCCTGTCTTCAATTAATGATCATAATCATTTTTTGAGATGTATTTATTTAATGATTCACATTTTTTACAATTGTTATAGATTGTGGAAGTTTAGACAAATTAAATTTATCAAATGCTGAAAACAGGAATCCTATCAACGGAACCACAATTTATACGTCGCTGGCGAATATAAGTTGTGATGAGGGATATAAGGAGTTAAATAGCAGCCAGGTACTAGGAATAACATACACTGTGATTAGATGTAACGAAAACGGAACATGGGCAAATCTACCGAAATGTATCAGAAAAGGTATTTATTTATTTATCTATGATTTATATATTTTGTTACACTGATTTGGACCGGTTTTTTATTTTATAATTTACTTTTTTATAATGATACCGCTTAGAATAAAGTTGTTATTTTTATTTCACACTGATACTTTTAAGCGTTTTTTCTCAATTGCTCGTCCCGAATAGATTTCTTTAAGATAAAAAACGTAAATGCAAATGAACAACCGTTTTATGTAGGTTCATAGTTTGTGTTCATAGTATATGCTTATAAACAAACGGTAAAAGTGATGTAGCAGAAAAAAAGAAAATTTACTTACTTTCAAATATAGGGTTTATTATTGAGATCTTGAGTAACCTTTAATTCAATTCGAATTCAATTTAGAAATAGATAATATTCATATGTCAGACACAACTTTTAGATTTTGAATTATTGAAGCATGTTTACCAAAAATATTGTAAAAAAGTTGTTGTTGTTTTTAGTTAAGATATCAATGTTTTTTAGGTTAATTACTATTGTTTCTGAATTGAATGACATCGACAAAACGTTTAAATAATGTTAACCAAAGTCAGAACATGACATTACCAACTTGCTAGATTAACAGAAAACTGTTTGTTTTATTATTTTTATGTGTTTATCAGTTATGTTCATACATGGTTAATAGCTAAGGTCATGTTATATTGCATGATATTAAAAAGTTTCTCATTTTATTCTTGTGTTCAGATTGCGGACCTGTCAATCAACTTAACCTAACAAACCTTAATCTAGAATCAGCAAACCTGCATGATGACACCAAATTTAACTCTACAGCAGATGTAGTATGTGATAGTGGTTACTATAACGAACATGACACACAAACAGCTGGACTGTCAACAACTACAATAACATGTTCCAAGAATGGAACCTTGGTGAACCTACCATCTTGCGCACCTAAAGGAATGTACCTTTTAACACATACAATTTATATACTATAAAAATTGTACTTCTTTTTTGTACTATTAAACAAAAGAGTTTGTTTATATCATTTCAAAATTGTTGTTTCCTTTCACACTCAGTTATGCTATTTTTAATTAAATAAGATTACAAGATTACGAAAATTAGCATAAGTATTTTATAATAATTTTATTTCCTAACAGATTGTGGAAAACTAGAAAAGATAAGTTTGACTAATGTAAATGAAAGGAATTATATGAACGGCACGGTGTTTACATCTATTGCAAACATGAGCTGTGATGTTGGTTTTAAAGGTAAAGATGAAGTCCAAACCGAAGATATATCCACCAGAATAATAACCTGTAGTGAAACAGGAAACTGGACGAATTTACCAACCTGTATAAGAAAAGGTATCTATCTAAAATACGTTCACTAAAATGAAGCAGAATACGAATTGTTGAAACCGCGAGGTTTGTTCCATGTAAATTGTTTCGACCTTACTTAATAATCGCTAAAACTGCATTAAATTATGAAAGCGCAGGAAACAATGAGGAGACAAAATATCTTTTGAACTGATATACACTCAAAACCAACATTATATAACCTAAGTATTTTCTAAGGATGAGCGTTGTACGTTTCATAATGATGTACACACTTTTTGAATAATGAAATAAGCAAAAACGTGCCGTAACTTAGCGCAAGGAACACACGGACAGTAACAAAATTTATCAGAAGAACACTAGGTCAACTTTAAAAAAGGAACTCTATAATTTGAAAAAAATGGGCATAGCTTTGTTAGCCGGGCTATATGTGTGCAACTTTCCGTTATAATTAGGTAATTAAGTATGACAAACAAGAAGGTTCGAGAGTGTTTGAATAAGCTTATAGCTTCCAACACAATCGAACTAAAATAAATTTGTATAAACCAACAAGAAGGTTACAAATGAACCAGTCAATTTGTACGAATTAGCAAACAATTTTCACCAGTGTATTTTTCGGTATTTAAAGACATTTTCTACAGTTTTATGAAAAATTAATCCTTTCATAGAATTTTCTTATTTTTTTGTATGATGAGTAAAATTTAATGACGAATTTAAAAATAAAAAGAAAAATATATGTAAACGTGTTGGATTTCTTGTCAAATGGCAGTTTCCATGGTAACCGTATATCTAAAAACTGTCAAAATAGCCAAACTGTGTTATAACGAATAGAAAATGTATAAGATAGCTTAAAAACAACAACGAGCATTGTTTTTATCAAAGATAACCTTATCTAATGATTCGTATGAAAAAAAATGATAATCTGAACATATTTCTTTAAAAAATGAGTTTTCCATGTTCCTCAACCGAACAAAAAATGAGAAAAATAAACATGAATTCTGAGAATTATTAAAGATATTGAAAAAAGTGTTTCATAGGATTTTCTAATTTTTTTGTATGTTGTGTAAATTTAATGACAAATTCAAAAAGAAAAAGAAAAATATATGTTGGCGTGTTGGATTTTTTTAAAATGGCAGTTTCTATGGTAACCGTATATCTCAAAATTGTCAAAATAGCCAAAAACTGTGTTATAATAATATATATTATATTATATATTATTATAATAATAGCTTATTGCATTCACAATAAACATAATTTTTATACAAAACTTGCTTTATCTTAGGGTTCTGTATAAAACAAACGATAATTGGGAACATATTTCTTTAAAAAAATGAGTGTTCATGCTTTATAACATGCTTTATAAGTAAACAAAAAATGAGAAAAATAAACATGAATTATGTAAAAAATTAAAGCTATCAAGAAATTTCTTTCATAGAATTTTCTACATTATTGATATATCAAGTAACATTTGATGGTGGATTCAAAAATAGAAATAAAATATATATGTTGACGTATTAGTTTTTTTGTTAACGGGCAGTTTCCATGGTTACCGCATATGCCAACTGTCAAAATTACCACGCTTTCTTAAGAAATATCAGTGTTATACTAAATGTTTTATCAAATATACAACAAAAACATGTTGTAATAAAACTTTCTTTTTCTTTTGATGTTATATTAAGTAAATGATACTTAATATCTTTTTTTAAACATATCTAGGGCCATATTTTTTTTTCACTCGACTAACATACCCGAACAGTAAGCAAGTATTCAGAAATTTACAAAGAAAATAATGAAATTCGGAACATTTCTTAGATATTAATTTTGTTTTTTTATTGAACACTTTTAAAATGTATCATTTTAAACTTCTTTGCCCAGTTGTCTGCCAGTAATCAAGTCGTGACGCACTTTCGTCACTATACCACAAGTGGGTGGGGTAACGCGCGCAGAATTATCATCAATGCTGTCGTACTAATGCTTTATGTGATGTTGTCTAAACGACCTCTTATTCTTTTGAACCGATCTCCTTTTGAACATTTAGAAATATCTATTCTGTATTATTTACTCATTATTTGCTTATAGCCGAAATATAAACACTTATCCGAATACTATTCAACTTGACCTTCATTTGAAGAGTTATTATCCGTGATTATCTTTCTTGGAAGCGCATAACGATGCGCACAGAAAACTACCGAAAACGTCTTTAAAAACTTTACTTTTTTCGTTAATTAGTTATAAAGGACAAAAACTTTTGCGTAACATGCATGTATTTGTAAAACTTATATATTTGTAGATTGTGGAAATGTAAATTATTTAAACACCATTAATGCATATATAAGACGTCAAAAGAAAAGTACAGAGTACGAGTCAACTGCTGAAATAGATTGTGATGCAGGATTTCATAACAAGAATATCATTCAAACAAGTGAAATATCAACAACAACTATAACATGCTCTGATAGAGGAACTTGGATTGGTATACCTACATGCATCCCCAAAGGTAATAATATCTATATCTTTTAAACATCTAATTATATTTAAAGCGTAAATTCGTCAGAAAATAAGTATAGGTTATATGTTATTTACAGAGTTTTAAGAAATTATTTTTCGAGCGAAAAAAAAAATAGTTTCTTAACCTTTAACCACATTAGTATATTGTGAAAAGTAGCCGTTTTCATTGAAAAGCCTCCTGTTACAAGTTCAAACTGCTATGCAACTATGACAAATACTTCAATACTGATGAAACTTGGCACATAACTGATTTCAAAGTGCTGCAAGTGAGAAAGAGTCAAAGGCTTTTTAGCGTTGGTTACACCTTACCTTATGATCGACCTAGGGTCATTATTAGCCTTTCACCAAAGGCAAAACTTTTCCTAAAGATGTTGGGAACTACCGCCTCTTCAAACCCCCCAGACAGAAGGGGGCGCATCCCCCTTCTTGCAAACCCCTCATGTACCTTGATGATGGGGGAAGGCGCTGAAAAAGTGATCACTTTTCTAACAACATTTCTCAAACGAAAAACGGTGTTTGGGGACTAAATAGGGCATCCGTTTGAAGCCTCAAAAAGGGGGGGGGGCGTGAAAAGCCGTCAAAACACGCTTATATGAGGGTAAAGGTTAAAACTCTGTAGATAACCTATAACCGACTTACAGTAAGCCATTCAATTCGAATGCATTATGTCAATAGTCGGAGTATATTAAATCGGCTTATTTAACGTATAAATTTAATGCATACAGTTGAGTTACAGCGCTGTATGGCAAATATTTCTGCAAAATTTAAGTAAAATAGTGTTCATTGGCAGACACACTTTGGAAAACTGTTAATGGTATTCGAGGACAGCAAACATAAGACAATCGAAAGCGTGTTTGAAAAGTTAAAGTAGTCTTTTTATCTGTATGTATTAAAGATTATTACTCTTGACTGTTACGTTACTCTGTATTGCAAATAAACTCTTAGGTTAGTATTAAGAAACATACATTATTAGTTATACAGATTTTGACAGGTTAATTGGCCATGTATAAACATTAGTTTGCATATATGTAACCCGGGTCAACATAATACAGCAAACATCCTTTATTTAAGAAAAGAATGAAATAACTTTATAGAATGTCGAGAGCAGTGTATATCAATAAACGTCACGATTATCCAGTTAAAGGCAATGTTACATACGTTCCATGTTTTGATAAAGTTATACAAGTTTTGGACGGGATATACGGGAGAATATAGACTTAAATCTGAATGGGATAAATATAATTGTTATATTTTGTCAGGGAATTTATATTCTCCCTTTTATATTGTCAGTATTTGTATAACGAAATGATGATAACGCAATTTGTAACAGACGACAAGTTCAAAAGAAACGGAGACGCAAGAAATTCATACGAATTCTATAATGTCGCAAGGTTGCCGCAACGTCGCAGACTGATTTCTCAACATGCACATTATTTCTGCGATTTTTTTGGACAGATTTTGGACCGTCGTAAGAAAATCGTACTGCAGCTTTGCAATTTCTAGAGGTTCTCGTGAAAAATGTTTTGTGTTTGTCTTGCGAGGACCGCAGGTTTGCCGCACAAGCATCTTGCAGTTACCACGGGCCGTAATCAAATGATGTCACATGACAGATATGGAAATCTGTCTAGTAAGACTGCGAAGTTGCCTGCAACCTTTCTATGGCAAAGTTTTCTGTACAAATGGTACGAACCATTTCGTGCGGCTGATGTTATAGAAGCTTTACGCTGCATTTATATTTTCATCTTTTTTAATAAGTGATATTAAAAATCGAGAATTATGCAATTTAAGTGGCATTATGCTCATAGTTTCATTATCATTGTAAGCTGAACTGACAATGTATTTCAAAAGCTTATTGAAACACTCTCGAATCCGTTCCTGGAACCAACCAGTACTAAGCCTTGAATGTAAAGTTTCTTTCTCAAGGAAACAACGGCTTTTCCCTAACAGGGTTTGAACCCACGCGGTCAGCAATCCTTATTACTAGTCAAACGCGTTAACCATTCTGCCACGCCGCCAGATTGACTGTTATAATGGTGATTGACCAATATTTGGTACTGAAACACGAGAGTAAATTTAGAATAAAGTATAAATCTGGCTTAAATATAAGAAGGACTGCCAAATTGTTTTTATAAAGTGAACGTTACAGGTGAATTCTAAAGTATATATGCAAAAATTTTCATGGGCCACGTGGGTTATTTATCGTTCATGCGAAGTAGTTTTTACAATTGAAAGGAATTATAACAAAATGTCAACTTAAATACACTTACTCCTGTTCATTGAATATATGGCCCTGGATGGGCATAATGTCACTTTAAGAACAAAACGCAAATAACCTTCTAAGCATACAGGTAGGTAACCATCTATGATGTATAAATACATTGTAATTTGTGCGTACTTTGGTTCTTCATTGTATACTCGTAAACAGCTTATAATAAAACATTTTTAAGCCAACCATAATTCGAGATTTTTTACAACATTATACATTTAACATGTTTAATATTGAATATCTAACAAAGTCAACAGCCAGCACTGGTTACTTCCCTTCGTCAATGTTGTATGAAACAATTAAAAATAACGATGTTTTGAGATTACTTACTTAAGCATTTATGGTTGGGCGTTTTTTTGTTTTTGTTTTTTGTTTTTGTTTTTTTTTAATTCAAAAGTTAAGCTATAAATCACGACAACAACCTTTCTGACAATTTTTCCAGGATAACTATTTCGTTATTTATGTTAAATTCTGATTTTGTCTGTTCCTTAGGTATGGATGGCCGCTTGCACTTTCCTTTACCGTCCATGAACATGCTTCATCGATCTGAGCATGCAATACTTTTGACATTTTAATTTGTTTTCTATTTTACAGTTACTTTTATTCTTTTGTTTTGTTCAATTTGAAGATTGTGGACAATTACCTTCACTATCAAATGGTAAAATCAGCTATGTCTCAAACATGACTACATTTGCATCTAAGGCAGTGTATATCTGCGACAATGGCTATCAAGTAAATGGGTCTGACACTATAGAATGTAAGGATACGGGGAAATGGAGCGATTATACAACATATTGTCAAATAAAAGGTATGCCATTTAGTATTATGATACTGATTTTACACATATCAATATTTTTGTTTTTGAGAAAAAAAAAGAGGATTAAATACTTGATACCAGTCTTAAAGAGAGTTATCTGTTTTCGATCATCAATATGTTCATGTAGAGGTATGTAACAATAACAACACAGCTGATAAAAAGGACTTTATGGCATCTCGACCCCTTGCAAGCTCGACCTGTAAACACATCGACACCACCTAAGACATCTCGAAACATGACACCTAGACTGACTGCTTTAATTGACTACACATTTTAATCCATCATTATGCGACAATGGCCCGAAAATGTGCAAAATGACCTGAGAGCCGTAGGTCCAAAGGACATTATGGACTCGATGGCCATTATCGCATAATGGCGAACAGCAACCTAGTAATAACTACTTTAATACCTATGCCTGAAATACGTTTAGATATAGCCAATAATCTTGGTTGCCGCCCTTTCTTAGAAAAGGACAATGTACGCAAACATCTGTTATATACTTTAACCCTCCATTAAAAAAACAAAACAATAAAGACATGACAACACAAACTAAATATGAGAAAATGATGATTTATTGATGTTTATATCGATAAATAGCCTTTATATATTTGTCAGAATAATGTCTAGTGCACGTTTTTATGATTTTTTGTGCTTTCATGGTTTTTTATATGTCTACCTCTGAATGCTCATGATCTTTGTTTCAACCGTCAGTCTGAAATCATTTTCGGATTTTCTGACGGTATGTTTTGTCCTGAGTAGAGTTATTGGTTTTTTTCCTGGGGTATAAATCGTTAATGTTCAACTTTGTTGATTGCGATTAATTATCTCATCTAAACTTAAAATTTATGTCGAGTGACTGCAGTTCATTCAACGCCAACCCATCTCGAAAGTCACTGACAGTTAATGACGACATTTTGCATGTGCGCTCATTCACTCACCTATTTCGGGAAAATAATGCCGAGTAGCGAGGTGACCTAAATTGTATAATGACCTAGATCTTGTCTAAATGACCTTGAAATACCAGAGATTTTGTTACTATATATAGTACCATAGGTAAAAATCTATAATATACACGTTACGTCAGAAACAATATTGTGCATGAAGATGTTAATTTAGAAAAAAGGTGGTATTTTGTACAAGCGTGATACTTAAATACATAAGTTAATAGATATTTCGAATTATAAGTGAAATTACATTAAGCCGTTCATTGTTACGCATAATCATTCTTCAAGAAGTGTTTTTTTATATTAGAAACAGAAACGCAACCATAACATTTAAACAAAGAAAAGTAGTATGCATGTATGTATACATATTACTTACTTGCATTGACATACATCAAAGGCATAGACATGTTGGTTGGAAAAAATAAACTGTGCCTTAGCTTTGTCAAATATGAAAATAATAATGGGAGCGTTATTGATTGATTTCCTTATAATGTAATGTAAATTCTTTATTCTTTGAATTGTACAGACTGTAAACAAGTATTACCCCCAGCAAATGGTGAAATAATTCTTTATCAGAACAGTACCGTTTACGGTTCAAATGCTTCATACATCTGTGATGAGGGCTTCAACATGAAAGGTCAAGCAAACATAACATGCGAAGCTTCAGGAAACTGGGATTACAATACAACTTATTGCGAAATAAAAGGTTTAAATTCCACTTTAAAATGTACAGCAACTTGTATTGGAGATTAAATTACTTCATTATTATACCAAGTAATTTAAACTTATAAAACTAAAACTCTGAGCAAGTAATGTTTTTGCAAATATTTACTTTACCTTTTTGGTAAATGATTTATTCTATTTATCTGTTTAACTTTTTATGATACTTACAGGCATTATGTCACAGTGTTCATGTAGGACAGATATGCCTGAATACCTTTAATTTCTTCCAGCTATTATATCCTGCTATAAGATCTGCATGAATTAGAAAATTTTGTTTCAATAATTATAGAAACTGTAGAATACACTGAATGCAGTACGAGATTTTAAATACCATTCGGTTAAAGTTATTTTTTTCATTCGTAATAAATATAACAAAATCATTCTCTTTCCAATAAAAAAATCCAGTTGGTTTACATGGAATTTCTTTAACTCACGTTTGTACATGTCATCAACTTATCGAATATTGACTATAAAGTGAATATATTTTTGTAATCATCATTTGAACATATATCTATGTGCAACAACACACCATTGTACACGTACACTGTTTCCTCGCGCTACCATTTGGTAACAATGTTTGTGTAAATGTTGTATTTTAGATGAAATTATTCAATGATATTAATCAAGTCAGGTATAAACATGTAGTTAAGGCATCGTTTTATTATCAAAAACTTTATAATTATTCATCATTGTTGATAAAAATCGACTTGCACATTTCAAAACCTATTTGTTACAAACGTGTTTCACTAACTTGACGTTTATCATACACTAACATCTACATAGATTGTGGGATGCCAAATGTTCCGCAAGACGGCTTTGTTTCTGCTCCAAATGGTACAAAATTTGAAGCCATCGTTGAATTCAAATGCCATCCTGGATACACTCTACATGGGGATAACTCTTCAAAGTGCATGCCAGATGGAAAGTGGAAGAAATACACTGTGAATTGTACTCAAAATAGTAAGATATCATGAACATGATATATTTTTTCATTCATACTTTGATATAAGAATTCTTTATATCCCGTTTTAAGATACTCAGTTGAATTATTATCATTATCATTATTATGATTGTGAATGTAAAAATCCGAGTTGTTATTACTTTTTTGATCTTTTTTTATCGTCTCAGATCTTTTAGATTGAGTTTTAATTATTTTTTGATGAAGAAAATATCTGAGCTTATTTTTCTTTTGTTTTAATGTGAATCAAGCCTATAACATAAGTGCTATTTTGGTTCGGAATGTGACAACTGTAATAATATGATAACTATTTGAATTAAGAATGTCACCAAGCTGAAGATATAGATCATGGCTCTGTTAACACAACATTTGAGCCACGTGCGATTTATGAATGCAATATGGGGTACACATTAAATGGAAGTCATACACTAATTTGCAAACTTGACGGTACATGGGACTCAGAACCACCAACTTGTAATGTTAAAGGTTTGTTTTGATTACTTGTACTTTTTAACTTGAATAATTATGAAAAAAACCTTTTTTTAATTTTAAACGTTGGGAAACGTAATTTGCATAAACGTTTTTCTACAAATTCCATTACTGTTAAACAACTACATCAGTTCGCATACGTTCTATCTAAATAATATAGAAACTGATATTCCACTTGTAGTATATTCGAAAATCTTTTGTTATTGTTTGTTACATGATAGTTACTATTGATATGTCTGACTCCCACCGACGACAATTTACAGAGTGTATCTCTACAACGGATTATTTGATTTGACGGCTAAAATAGCTCTATGTGATATATATCCGAATGCATATCACAGTTTGTGACGCTCAAATCTATACATAAAGCATGAGATGTGGCTATAAGACAGATTAATGTTTGAAATATAAAACAACAACAGAAATAGGGTATGACTAGACACCGTAAAGGGCCTCTTTCCGCGGAAAGGACTTTCAAAACATTTCAAGAAATATAATTACAACTTATTGTAACAAATACATATCTGAATAAATTGATATCTTTTTTTTAAAAATCAGTATGATTTTGAGAAAAAATCAATCAGCCCTAAAACCGCACTGGCCGGAAAGGACTTTACATGATCGGAAAGGGCTGCATATACCATCGTTGTACATAATGCATTTTTGAAAGATTTTAATAAACATAATTACAAATAAATATAGAAAATACACATATATCTTACATTAAAAATGGTTAAGATTTCGTACGAAATTCGGCCAGTCCTAATTAACTGATCGGAAATGACTTAATAAGAGTGACAGGAAAGGGCCGACTATTTTTAGCTCACCTGTCACAAAGTGACATGGTGAGCTTTTGTGATCGCATTTCGTCCGGCGTCCGTCCGTCCGTCGTCCGTCCGTAAACTTTTACTTTAAATGACATCTCCTCATAAACCACTAAGCCAATTTCAACCAAACTTCATAGGAATGTTCCTTTGGTGGTCACCTTTAAAAATTGTTCAAAGAATTTAATTCCATGCAGAACTCTGGTTGCCATGGCAACCAAAAGAAAAAACTTTAAATATCTTCTTTTAAAAAACCCAAATAGCTAGAGTTTAGATATTTGGCATAAAACATCTTCTAGTGAGTGTCTACCAAGTTTGTTCAAATAAAAGCCCTGGGGTCAAAATTGGCCCCGCCCCAGGGGGTCATTGATTTTCCCTATATGCATATAGTAAAAACTTAAAAAATCTTCTTTTAAAGAACCCATAGAGCTAGAGCTAAGATATTTAGCATGAAACATCTTCTAATGGGTGTCTACCAAGTTTGTTCAAATAAAAGCCCTGGGGTCAAAATTGGCTCGCCCCAGGGGGTCATTGATTTTCCCTATATGCATATAGTAAAAACTTAAAAAATCTTCTTTTAAAGAACTCAATGAGCTAGAGCTAAGCTATTTAACATGAAACATGTTCTAATGGTTGTCTACAAAGCTTGTTCAAATAAAAGCTCTGGGGTCAAAATTGGCCCCGCCCCGGGGTTCATTGATTTTCCTTATATGTGTATAGCAAAAACTTAAAAAATCTTCTTTGAAAAAACCCACATAGCTAGAGTTTAGATATTAAGCATGAAACATCTTCTAGTGAGTGTCTACAAAGTTTGTTCAGATAAAAGCCCTGGGGTCAAAATTGGCCCCGCCCCAGGGGGTCATTGATTTTCCCTATATGCATATAGTAAAAACTTAAAAAATCTTCTTTTAAAGAACCCATAGAGCTAGAGCTAAGATATTTAGCATTTCAACATCTTCTAATGGGTGTCTACCAAGTTTGTTCAAATAAATATCTAGTCATACCGCCAGAAATATGAATCATTTTAAGATAATATTGTATAGTCATGCTTCCTTTTAGAAAATTTACATACAAAAAAATGCTATTTTTATAATTGTTCTGAAGAATAAATGATCATCGTTTGATGAGATGCAGTTTAATTGTTTTATCATGGCATGGGTTCTTCTAAATGTATAAGACTGATGTTTGTTAAAGTATGTTGAAGAAAACAGGTCAGTGAACACAAGTTTGCGCTACATGGACTAAAAGCAAGAGAGGAACATTTTGTTTTCCATTTCTTATGTATGTATAACTATCAGACATACGCTTTTGAAGATTATGTTTTGAGATTTGACCATGAATATTGATGGTACATAAGATTGTTTTTGTTTGGTACTGTTTTTACAAAGAAATTTATGTGATTTCAACTGTTATATTTTCATTTTAAGATTGTGGGGAAATAATTCAACCCATACATGGATCGGTATCACTAATTTCAAATAAGACAACCTTCAGGGCAACTGCATTCTTTAAATGTTCAACGGGCTATGAACTGACTGATGATAAAATAGCAAGATGTAATGCCTCTGGTCAATGGACAAGCAACCCAGAATGCAAAATTAAGGGTAAGCATTTCTTATTACACACTACTTAAATATTGTATAAGACATTAGTTTTTCAGGCTGTTCATCATGATATACCTAACATATTTGGTTGAATGGTGTTTTTTTGTTTTAGATTATAAACAAATAAAAACAATAAGAATAAAAAATGAAAAATATAAATATAAAAAAACAAATAGGAAAACAGAGTTTTTTGTTTTAGACTATTGTCATGTATTATAATAAGAACAAAAATCTTATAAAAACAGATATGACTGAATCATGATATTTTATTAACAACAAGTAAAAGTTTTAACAAATAAGTTTTATTGTAAGTTCTATTGTTATATATGCAATGCATTTTTTCAAAGAGTTTCTCAACAATAAAAAAAGAGTAAAACGAATACATGAAGTTAATATTATGATGGACTGAAATATTGTTCTCTGAAAATTACAAGACTGCAAGAGTCCTCCGGATCTTGAAAATGGAAATGTTAGTACAACTAACGGAACAACATACGAGTCTGTTTCAACATTCACGTGTGACTTAGGTTTTACATTGGAAGGTGACGACAGTACCAAATGCACTGAAAACGGAACATGGACAATATACAATACTTCGTGTATAATAAATGGTAAGCGCTTTATCGCAAATTATTATGAACAATATTAATTAATCGAAATGTTTTTTTAATTTGAGTATGACAAAATGACTTTTTGAATAACACTTGACACTAATTTTAACTATTTCGAGCCCTCCTTTTGAAAATTAGTACTAGACTTACAATTATAAAGACTTAAAAAGACTTATGTTCGTAAATTTTTAAAGTTACAAATCCACAAATACAAGTTGAGCGGTAAATACCTTTATCTGGAAGATATTGTCTTCTTAACATTTTAAAATTCACAAAAATTATATAACTGTTCAATCAATGGTATCTCGTCATCGTCCGTCCATAAAATATTTCCCCACTGCATGCATTCATATACCGAGGTATTATTGAAATTGTATTTTATATCATGTTTTTATTTACATAAAAAGTATTGCAAAAAGAACTGACATTTTGCTAAAAAAACATTTACGAATAAATAAATTGTTGTTAACAAGGACAATTATTAATAGGAAGAACAACAAGTACACAATGGTCAGTGTTAACCATTTTCTGCTAAATAAAATGTGAAGCCATCAAAAATGCTGCTAGATGTCAATACTGAGATACATTGCTATATACTCGCAACCAACTTACGTAAAATTTTAATATAAGATTACTATATATTACAAAGAATTGCTTGTTTTTGCTTTCATTACTTCAGAGACATTTCTCGTTTTTTCACAACAATAGGTGTCAAGTGCCGTATTGGCAGCTATAAAATGTTGCCCTGCATTTCACTTCAGTGTTGTTATATTGTTCTGGTTCTTCGGGATCATTAATGCCGCCCGTTAGTGTTGAAGATTGAATACCGCTGCTAGGGGGCGTGAGAGATGCAATATTGAATCTTATTCCCTGAAATTAAAATAAGCATATATTCCAAACATGCAACTAAACGTTTACATTTACGTTTACTTTTATTTATCTCTCATGAATATTCTCATTCACATCGAGTCTGCAAAGTTCTTATGATTTTGATGTTTTCATTGCTTCCCTCCTCCCTTTTTCAGATTTTTTTCCCTTCATATATTTGATTGTCGTATTGTATTTAGACTGCCATTCACCTATTGGACCAATTAACGGTAACGCTACGGCTATCAATGGAACAACTTACTTGTCGATTGCAAGATACGTGTGCGATAAAGGATTTGATCTAAGTGGATCAGACACAACAATTTGTCAGGCCAATGGATCATGGAGTGGAACAATTCCAACATGTAATATAAAAGGTACGTAATTTGTACATGTTACTTGTTAAAAAATGAATTTGCATGTCCAATTTAGTATGACAAAATAATTCTTCCGATTTCCAAATTCCTGTTTACAATGCTATTGTATTGAATTAAAGAATCAAAATGTGATCAAATATAATCATGATTTGTGTCCGGTTTCTTTGTTTCTTGTTTTTACTGTTTAATATACAGTCACTTAATATAATCAGTTAAGTGAATAACTTTAAGCGTATTTTTTTTCAGACACTTTCATTGATTTTTAGAGCGTTGTTGTAGAAAATGTTACGTTTGGGTTAATAGACATAGTAATTAAATCATGAGAGTCGATAACTACGGTGATTGATTAGATAAACTATTCATTATTGTACTAGGATACGGAAAAAAATTCAATCTGATTTGCTCATGGACTTTGTCCTTTTTGCTGAGCGGTTTAAAGACTGTAAGACTAATACATTTTGTCAATTGAGTCAAATAAGTGTCTTATGTTGATTTTTAAGACTGCGGTCCCCTTCAAAATCCAACAAATTAAGGCATACTGTGCCTTAGAAATGCTCTAATTTTTATTTCTCAAAAGCTTTTTAATTTTTTGATTTAATTTTTTGATTTTGAAATTCCAAAAGGTTAGGATTTCGCTCATTCCCGGAACCATCTTTTTCATCTGTTAATATTGTGTAGTGAATAAGTAATATGTACGGAAATCAAAGTAGTACTTTGTTCTCATTTTGCTACTTAAATGATAAAATGTTTTGCATTTATCGCTATTTTTTCAGATATCAAACACCTAACAGTTCTCAAAAACATTTTCTAAATATCTAAACATTAATTTATGTTTGCCCATTCTAAAGAAGTAAACCATTCTTTATTTCTGAGGCATGATATACATTTAAGATCATGTAATTTTTGTGCTGGCACATTCGATTTCATACAGAATAGGAAACTTTCAATCATTGACTGCTCTGTTAAAAATAAATATATCGTGCTGGAAACAATTGGAATGTACCGGCAGTATACATAACATGGTATAAAATAGTGTTTCTAATTAAATATCTTTGTGTAAATAATAGATTCGATGATTTAGTTGTATAAAATTATTAAATTTCTTGGTAATATTTTTGTGCCTGATTTTGTTTTTGATTAATTTTGATACTAGTGTCTTATAAACAGCAGCAGCGACTATATAAATGAACTGAGATGTTCTTTAGTTACATGCATGTTTATATTAATAATATACTTTCTTTAAATAACGTCTCAGACTGTGGGTATCCGAATGAAATAATCCATGGATCAAAGTCCATAACGGGCACTAAATATAAAGATAACGTTACATATAGCTGTAATGCGGGATACGAAACAACCGACGCCGTTTTTGCCACATGTAACTCAAGTTGAAATTGGAGCACACGTGCCCCTCTTTGCAAAGGTACGTACAGTATATTGATATATAAATGTATCTGTGAGAAAAAAAAACTTTGATAACCTTGACAGAAATTCAACTAGTAACATATTTTTGGAAGTTGGTTATTCAATTTTGAGAATAAATATTGAGGACATACTGTGAAAAGTCGGTCAGTTTGGAAACACAAACCCACCACACAAAACAGTCACTATAATTTTCGATCGAGTTATAAGTTATTTCTATGTATTAGAATTGGTTCATGTAAATGACTTTCTTGGAAATGTTTGCATAATTATAAAATGTAATGTGAATAAAAATGATAATAATCGCAAACGTCTCATGGAAAAACAGTATTTTCCTCTGGATGATATTTCACTATTACTCACAAACCCTGGCCTAATGTTATTTTTACGCTGTTTATAAACAACTAATACCTTTTAAATAATACATGTAATTTTTCACTTTATAAAAGACATAAATGAATGTGCTCGTTACACAAACGACTGTGACTTGCAAGCTATCTGTAGCAACACTGAGGGGTCTTACACATGCAAGTGTCCAGACAAGTACACCGATAATTCCAAGAATGGGGAAACCGGTCGAGACTGTCAAGGTATGGCGTTTATCCGATCACTTAAATGTTTCTTATTTCTTTTTAAGATGACAAATACTATGAATGAAAGATATTGAAAAATAATAACTCGAGGTCGACAAGAACGTTTGAGCAAACACATCTTTTATTTAAGAAATATTCTCAATATACTTTTGAAACCCAAGGGGTAACTCAACTACGTTAATTGTGTTCGTCGTTGCCAAAAAAGTTTTAAGTGATTTTTGAAATATTATTTTGAAAATATTAGCACTAAAGTCTAGTGCTATCAACATTATTTTTTTTAAAAATGTAATGGGAAGTATCATTTGTACAGATATATGTCTATAAGTCAGGTTTTTGTTTTATTTCTGTAGTTTGCACCATGTAATAAAATTAAATCGTGTCTCATCAGTCGATTTTATTGAATATCACTCATTGAATATCACTCACATAAACTGCAGCGTAGGAGTGTAATAAATAGAGGATATTTGTTTGTTTGCGTGTAAGATGAAGTGAGCTTTAAAAACAGTATTCTCACGAGTTGCTTAGCCACGAGTGAGAATACTTTTTTTAAGTTCACGAGATGAAATAAAATTTTATCTTACACAACACACAAACAAATTTTCTATTATATGCTCAAAAGCAAGCTAAAACAAAATTTCCTTGATATTAACTTTAATATTAAAATCTGTTTTCCCCACTGGTAGCCTCTATTATGTACATGTATTAGTTAAATTTCTCATCAAACACAAGAAGTCTTGGGCTAAAAAATAAGTTCGATAATCAACGTTAAATGGCGGTGATATTATTCATTTTATTAAAAAATATGAACGATCGCTTGTGTTAATTATAAAATCAAATATTTCTAGTAGGAGAAAAGTCGAACCATCCATCCATATTTCTGTTCCTTACTGCGAATTTATATTAGACCTGGCTCTTTTATATGTAAGCGGCCGCCATTTTTAAAAGTTGTGTATTTCACTGGAGGAAAATAATTGTGTATGATTCAGAGGGATATCATTTGGATTTGTTAGTCGTACACCTTTTTAAAAGAAAGAAAACTTATATTTGAGGATTGTAATAGACAATATTTAAGTGTTAACAGATGTGTAAATTATATTTAAAAAAAAAACCGCTAAGAAATTGGAAGTGAAAGGCTGCTTTTCGAACGTTGGGTTGTTAACTTATTCTTTGGGCTGATGGCTTTAATTGCTTTTCAAGTTTCTATAAAGCATACGGCAGTTATTGCTGGTATGATACTTGAATATGCCCAAATGTCATCAAGAGCAGATTTGCATGTGGAAGGAATCTATTTTTCAGACTGTAAAAATGAAACAAAAAAATTAAGAGACGACATTTGGTGATTGGTAATGTACTAAAATATATGAATAGATGTAAGTTTTCTTCTTTTTATTACTTTTTACATTTACGTTATTTATCAATTTCAGCTTTGTTTTTCTCTAAACAGCCTGACATTTTCAAAATTGTCAGCAAAAATAAAATTGAGGAACCACATTGGGATAATCTTAAAAAAGTAGATTCGTCATTGAAAAGTGTGAAATTATATATTGATAATTTTCACTGTGAAATTATCAAATATAATTTTCATGGATAAATCAGTTATCCACTAAAAAGCATAAAATAAAGCCATATAGTAAAATCGATATTACACTAGTGTTATAACACTTAGACGTGGCGTCATTTGCGTTATATATACACATAGCGTTAAAGTACACTATAAGTCTGCCCCATTAAAAAAGGAAATGAACTTTTGCCTTGCATAAATTAACAAAACGACGTTGAATAAAAATTAAAACTTTTTTGTTAACTAAAAAAAGTCACCCTCGAGATTTTTTCCGGATTTTTCTCTCAAGTGTCAACTTTTCTTGTAAAAGCAAATTTAATTTTCTCTACGGCAAGTCTCTGTTGTTTATTTTCCGTAGTCATTGCTGAAGTACTCTTCATTTAGCTATGCGCATGTCCATATATATTAAAACAGAGAAAGATATCATCCTGAAGTTATCAAATTTAAATACTTGATATATATGCAGTTAGTTATATAGTAAAGTCTAATGGTAGGTTCAAAGAGGGACAGTATTTGTTACTGTAAGAATTATGCATTTAATGTTTAGACACTCACACAACTCAATTTTTATTATATAATATAGACTATTCATGTTTTATTTTACTTTTATACTATACATTATAGTTTTCTTTCTACAAGATTTCTACAAGATTATGAATTCCATCCAAGTACCAATGTAAATAGGATGTTATATTTATTCTTAATGGAAACTGGGAATTGTTAATGAAATGTGCATACATGTGTATCTTAGTATATGGATATAATGTGTATTTCTGTATTTTATGATGGATGAGACTTGCATTTAAATTTATAAATGATAATACATGTAGCGATTAGTCTACAGGTTATAGATGTTTATACCCAGTGTTAGCTGGCTAATAATTGTCACAGACACTTGGGGTTTGGAGCTCAAAACGCCTTTAAAATCCAAATAAAATGCATATTTGTCAATCCCAGCATATGTACTGATTATATATATCAAAAATACTTGATATAAGCCGTTTTGAAAAAAAAATCATATTTCAACATGTATAATAATACACTTGGGGTTTGGAGCTCAAAACGCCTTTAAAATCCAAATAAAATGCATATTTGTCAATCCCAGCATAAAATTATGTACTGATCATATATATCAAAAAAAATTGAAGCCGTTTTGAAAAAAATTCATATTTCAACATGTATAATAATACACAAGATAAAAATGTTCGCCGGAAAAAATCCGCACCCCTACCGTGATAATCACCATGTATATTATTCCATTTCCAATATTTTCACATAATCCTTTGGTCCATCGACACAGAAGATATAAAACTGTCTAAGCCCTTTTTAGTAAAAATAATTATAAAATATATAAATTATTTTTTTTTATATTAAAACTATGAGTATGTGAGGTTTTTTCTTCTTATTTATTTAATTAAGAATTAATCTACCTGTTGATTTAAAAATCTAAAAGTATCTGTCTCGGTTTAAACCTGTTCACTATTTAAGGGAGAAACTGTATAAGCTGCCAGATAGCTCAATCGCTACAGCTGCGGTACATTATTCTGTGGGTCACAGGTTCGAGTTCTTGTCAAGCTGAAAGTTTTTCTCATCCTGTGACTGCATATAAACCTGAGTTTCATTCACTATGCTCTGAAAACATCAGAAATTCAAGGACACAAATCAATACAGTGGGGAAATAATTTGTGGTTTAGAACTGTTTTATTATTAAAGAGAAAATGTGTAGCCGACCTGATAGCTCAGTTGGTCTCCTGACAGTCATGTGTTCGATTCATGGTCAGAGTTTCAGCCAGGATTTAGAAGTGGTTTTTCAACTGACACATTATTGATTCATTTAACAGATTGTATTAAATTTAAAATGGACAAAGGCAGTACTGCATGATACTTTTAGATCTACAAAAGGCATTAATACAGGTGATCACACTATACTGGCAAGACAGAGTCTATTCTTTTTTGTTAAAGTTTCAACTTAAACTGGGCCTAGCCTCCAGGTCACATGTAATGGTACTGCTATAAAGTACACATCTTTTGTTAAGTATTTAGGTGCAAAACGTGATCAATTTTATTAGGCGTCGCCTTTTATGCTTTGCATCAATACTTTTCTTGTACAATTATTTACTCACTAGTACAATTATTGACTCACTAGTCAATAATTGTTTTATTATATGAATAGGCTAAGAATTTAAAAAAAAAAACACAAAGAGTACAACCTCATATACATGTACAATTTTTTCCTCGTTGAAGCGTGGGACAAAGGACCCAATTGTTAGGCGCGCAACGACTTCGCGAACGCTGCACATCCATAAGAAATTCAAGTTTATATTCATAATTGCAGTGTAGCCTTTAAGTATAATAGTTAAGTAATGATATTTTTATCGAGAAATATGCTATAAAGAACAAAACGCAAAAATAATTTTTTAATTAACACGCGTAATTAACGGTCTACGGTGTATGGTCATTCAATATGTGTCTCAATCTATTTTTAGACTTGGAAAATCCAATTCAGCCAGTGAATATGATACAACACCTAGTGAATACGATTTTATAAAAAGTTCTGTTGACTACTGTTTGGACCAATGAAATTGCAGCTAAATTTAGAACATATAATAATACTCATTGTAGATCACTCATTGTATATCAACCGCAGTATATTTTTCACTGTGTGGCAAATATTGTATGTCACTCACTGAGTATCACTCACTGTATAGCACCCACAGTATATTATTCACTCTGTGGCAAATATTATAATATTATGTCACTTACTGAATATCACTCACTTATTATCGCTCACCGCGAATTACTAACTTCACAATATTCGGTGTTTTACACTCACTGTATATCATTCACTGCAACAACTCACAGTTTATCATGCTCTTTATATCATTAACTTATTAATTATCTCACTCTTTTCATATCACTTCCTTTATGTCATTCATTATCATACTGTTTGTGTTTTGTTACTTGATATAACTCAACTGAATTTTTCAAAACATAAACAATGTTTTCAGAACACTGTAAAAGAGTTATTTTGTTCCGCGGAAAGCAATATATTTGTTTGTGCGATATGAATTTAGTTTATTGAAATAAATACTGTGATGAGCAGGGAAGTACGTCATCGCATTTGAAAACAATGAAAGTGTGATTAGATGAAGTTCTATTCAGTTAATATACAATATGTTTGTTTCTATCTATTTACTGTTTATATCAATATAAAGACATAGATGAGTGTGCAGACTGGAACAAAAGTCAATGTAATAAGAAAGGATCACAGTGTGTTAATTACCATAGAGGGTACGTCTGTGTTTGTCATCGAGGATGGACTGGCACTCGCTGTGAAAATGGTATCTAAACCTGAAATTGTATGACAATAAAGTGACATTAGATAATTAAGTGACATTATGCCAATCCAAGAGTGTCAAGGTGAAATTAAAATAACATAATTGTCTTCAGTTTAATGATAAATATCACGTGAGAAATAAATAAAACGTGACCTTAATATAAATCTATAAATGTCCAGCGGGAGATATCGGTAATGTCAAATTTATAAACAGAGTTGGGCAGCCATCTATATTTTAGGCATTTTTGTATTTAATCCGAAACATTTATGAATATCAATTATTGTTCAGTCACCATTAGAATAGTCAATCGGTTAAAATATACGATTAACTTATCATAATTTGACAGTGAAAGAATGGGCAAAATGTCACTTTAAGAAATTATGCTTCATGCATGGAAATGTTTGAGCATTTTAAAACAAATTCATTACTTACATTTAAGGGGCATTCAAATCTGCTAAAGATTATATGATAATTTTGTATTTTTCATAAACACATTGTATCAAAGAAGTTGGAAAATAATTTTCTTTACAATGAATTGATATATTTCATATCAAAGACGAGTTCAACAATTTATTAATTGTTCCATAATTAGGTGCCTGAATTCAGAAAGCATGCTTTAAACTTACTTGTTTTGATATAAATCGCTTGGGCGTCCGTGGTTGAGTAGTTATTGTCGTAAGCTTCAAAATAGTTGCCACTATCCTCTATGCGTAGATAACATTATTTTGATTTGCATAACATGTTTTAGATCGTTAAATCTAATGATTTATTTTACAGATATTAACGAATGTAACGATACATCTACATGCGGAGTAAAAGCTTCTTGTACTAATTTTGACGGAGGTTATAATTGCACGTGCAATAAAGACTTTCCGAAAGGAGATCCGACATTTCATTGCTATGGTATTATAAGATTAAACAATATTTTTCTTGACACTTTGCTACCATCTTTGATTACAGACATTGCGTATAAGTCGATATATTTCGTTTTTCAATCTATGTCTAATTGATGTACCAATTACGGAAGCTTATTAGGGCCTCCACTTATCTAAAAGTTCTCGTCATGTCAACTTGTTTCTTCTCGTTTTGATCAAAAACATTCCATGAAGACGTTATGATTTATACGTAATACATAAAACATTCCATGAAGACGATACGATTTATACGTAATACATAAAACATTCCATGAAGACGATACGATTTATACGAAATACATAAAACATTCCATGAAGACGTTATGATTAATACGTAATACGTAGAAGTTTCTAATCATTGCAAAAAAAACTTTGTTGAATTACGTGAGCTATTTGTCAATATGAGTAACCTTTATGCGTCTTATTAAATATTTAAGCAAAGTCGTGAAATCAAGAAATTTCGACATAATTTTTGTCGGAGAGACAAAAGCTTCAAACATATCGAGAAAAATTCAGTTGCAATGCCTAAAACTTCTCATCTTTGTCGGTAAATTTTATTGAGAAATGCAAAAACATCTTCAATGCGAATAAAAATAAGTCGACTTAGCGCAAAACATCTCACCAACTGTAGGCCCTGATACGCTTCCGTAATCAATATTGTATATGAATACGCCTCTATCTTAGAATTGTATCACGCGATTCTTATCACGTATTGACTAGTGTGCCTCCTAGGCTTTACATATTTTCGTCTATTCCTTTCAAAGTTCTGTTGGAAAGTCATATTTGACATGTACGTATAACGTTGTTTCTAAAATATTAACGGCTTTTATATATAGTAAGATTTTGTCATTATTAACATTTGCATTTGCAAATTATATCAAAATACAAAATTTTGACAAACATATTATTCATCATTATTTAAAAGATGTCATTTAATGAATATTAAAAGTTTTCATAGTTTTATCATTGCTTTTTCTTAAGCCATTAAAATCGATCTCGCAGTCCCCTGATGAGATTTGTTTTCATAAGATATATCGCATGTCAGCTTATAAACATGTTTATTATACGCCTATGAATGAAATAGCGAGAAAAAATGGTATTTTACGAGAAATTGTGTCTTAATAAGAATTCTAACACGACCTGCACTTTTCCCTATTGAATATAAAAGGACCGAGCGTGTGTGTTATTATGCACTTTTTTATTTATTTTTATACAAAACTCATGGCCCTTATGGGCATAAGAGTGAACAAGCAAACACTACAACAGATAATAATAAAACAAACATGGCATAGAAGTAAATAAGTAAATAAGGAAGTTGACTTAGCAAAATTTCAGCATTAACAAAAATGGCTGGATTAAATAAGTTATTTCTGTTGTCGCTATACATATGAGCCTAAAAATTTAAAATACAAGGAAACCTTGAATAGTAATTACTGATATATTTGTGTCTTTCATGAGTAAAATAACTACATTAAAAAAAATGAAATTCATCAACTATTTCTTGCTGGTTGCAAAGTGAGCATGATCTATTTTCTCTTTCAATACCATATTAGCGATCTTTCTCTATAGGAATGTCAGAATTGAGACATCTAAATTTACAAAGAGTAATTGCTTAATTTCTTGGTTAACATCGTAAATAATGTTCTAATTTAAATTGAGTTTTATATATTCTATAATTTAAACACTTAGCCGAATTGAAAACATCACCATTCCATACTTGTAAAAATTGATCACGTAAACGGGACTTTATTACATATTTAAAGTAATTAAAATTTGTAACATTATTCAAAGTAATTTTTACTTTGAATATCCACAGACAATGTAAAATACCCTTTTTATGAAGATTATACAGAGTGCGGTACTGTTGACGTTCTATATCTAGATATGTGACGTAACCATTAAAAATGCGACGCCCTGAAAATAAGTACTCGCAATTTAGCTTGATATCATGTACGACAACATTTATTTGTGATGTCGTGTTAGAATCGTAAAAATATGTCCAGAATCATTGATTTTGTCGCTTGATAAAAGCACAGTTTGTCGTCCGGATGCCCAGGATTATATCACTCGGGCTACGCCTCGTGATATCAGTTCATATATCCGACAACCAATCAGTGATTATATTTAGCGATAACAACAATGCCTGGGATGATATATTTCTAGAATTACAAATGACTTATTTTTGTTAATCAAATGCTCTTAAAATGGAGGACGATGGTAAACAAAAAGTTCGTTATAGAATTCTAAATATGTTCGCTATAAATACTCCTGACACAAGGAACTATTTTGCTTTATGCTTACAAGGAACTCCGGATATAAGGAACATATTTTGAATGTCCCAATTAGTTCGTTTTAAGCGGAGTTTACTGTATTATAACTTAAAATGAAGAAATAAGTTACTGAAAACATTAAGCACAAGATGCATTCCTTGTGGATAGTAATGGTTGAATAAATTCAAAAGTTTATATACTCAAAATCATCCAACTGCAACATCAACTACTACAGTCAGATATTCTAAGCAAGGAATCGACATCACTAATTGTATTCACTTTCTCCCCAAAATAAATGTAAGTAAATGAATGTAAAAGTTCTGCTACTATGCATGACATACAAGTAAACCGTAAGCGAAATTGATAGCTGGTCCTTTAAAAATAATGTGTCTTATAGTTTCAGATTGCGGATCTCTTGAAATGTTAAATATATCAAATGCTGCAAAAAAACTTCTATTTACTGACACAATATACGGAGCCAATGCTGTTGTAACATGTATAACAGGGTACTATGATAAAAATAAAGCCCAGATGAAGGGGGTATCATCTACACTGATCAAATGTTCTGAGAATGGAACGTGGGTTAAAGTGCCAAAATGTGTCAGAAAAGGTAAATTGTGTTTGGTTCATTAAATTTCTTTTAGATATTTAACGTCTAGAAGCGTCTCACTTAACATCAATACTATGCGGAAAGAATCCAAACTATTTTAATTTATATTAATTCATTAATCAGTTGTAGATACACGACTGAATTAGTGTCATAACGTAACATTTGTATGCAATGACGACAGTGTGTCATCATGATTAAAGTAGAGATGTTATATAACATACTCCCTAGCATCAACATAAACATTGATAGTAATGACTATTCCTCCATATATACTTTACCAACAATTGTAATACCTCTCCAGTCTTTTGAATGAAGAAAATTATATCATCCATACCGCGAGCATTAATAATTAAATGATGCAATGTATGTTTACATTCATTATTTTTCAATTAAGATTTTTTTCAATTATTATGAAAATTTTGTGAAAATTTCTATGATTTCTTTAACTATTTTGCATTTCAATCCTTCTGACAAGTCGAATTTGTTATATGTGAGTAACGACAAAAAGGTCAGTTAACAAAATTTGAATCTTTTCGTTCAATTATCGTTTTTTTAATTAGATTGTGGAAACCTAACAGATATTACGATAACTAATGCCGTTCACAGACGTCTACATACAGATACAAAATTTGAATCAATAGCAGATATAGACTGCGATGACGGATATTATATTAAAGGAAGAATTCAAACAGCTGGAATATCAACCCAAACAATAACATGTTCTGATACCGGAACATGGATCAATGTGCCAGAATGCGTTCCGAAGGGTAGGAAATGTATATTTTCTTTTATCATAATACAATGATATGTTGTTTCGTCGTGTTGCTGCTAAAATGTGCCCCATTGTCTTTCTTCAGACATGAATAATTGCTTTTATACTTAAAACTATCTTTCTTAAATAGATTATCAAAAACGTGTTTTATTTGTTATCAAAAGTTTTTTTTTAAAAAGAAGAAAGAAAAATTGACATTTTTTCAAGATTGTGGGAGATTGGAACAACTAAATTTGTCAAACGCGAAAGATAGAAACCTTATCAACGGAACCACAATTTATACGTCGCTGGCAAATATAAGTTGTGATGAGGGATATAAGGAGTTAAATAGAAGCCAGGTACTAGGAATAACATACACTGTCGTTAGATGTAACGAAAACGGAACGTGGGCAAATCTACCTCAATGTGTCAGAAAAGGTATTCATTAATGTATCTGTAATTTAGCTGTTTTGCTTCACTGATTTAGACCAATTTTTTATTTTTATCATTTATCTTATTCTATTTTAATGATACCGCTAAGAACAAAGGTTATTTTCAAATATCTGGGAAATGTGATCCCTCGGAAGCATTAAAACAGCAAACATCCCTCACGCCTCGTAGCACCGGCTTGAGAGTACTTATTTCTTAACACTTTCAAGTGCTTGACACATTGTCTTACTCAATGAACAGTTTCATGTTTATATCTGAACATACAATATCTTTAAGATTGTGGAGACGTTCAGAATATCAAGATCGAACATGCAGCTAATAGGATTCTTTTGAATGGTGACACTAAATACAACGATACGGCAGAAGTCACATGTGATTTAGGTTACTACGATACTGATCAGAAGCAAACAACGGGTGTATCAAAACG